TGGAGGCGTCTTTTCAAAGGAAAAGTACCACTGGCGACATGGAAGAGAGGGCGAACATTTAACTGATATCTCAGAAGCATGTGATTAATGATTCTGAAGTTCTTTCCCCATTTGTTAAAGACACGTCCTTGTGATCAGGGAGTGGAGGATCTGATATCTGCACAGTCACTGTTATGCCATCTGAACAATCCTCTTTTATCTCAGGGCAATGACAAAACTGCGATTAGAAAATGGTTGATTGCTGTCCACGTATAGGCCTATGTGGTCATTCTGTCTGGAAGCTGTAGGATTTTTTCTGGCTAACTTCCTGCGTACTTTTCACTTGGACAGCAGAGACTACACTATCCTCTTCGTTTTGCTCAGCACAGAGCAAACTGTGACGATTACAAAGCTTCTCAATTTCCAATCGGTAGGGCTTTGAGTTTACAGAGTACCACAGACAGAAATTAAAGCTATAGTAGTAGCTTTACTTCAGTTGGTAAGTGCAAGCAATGGAACGCAAACCATCTGCTTTCATGACAGGTACAGCAAAGAGACGTCATCTGAGGACCATAATAGACCAACTTTAAAAATATTTAACATACCTCAAAAGTGTCTTTTAAAGCTCTGTTTGCTCTGGAGAATCCATTCTCTCACACATATTTTTTATATGATTTTAAAGTCATACATTAGACTGTGTGCATTGCATGTATAACTTCACATGGTCACAAATTGCATAAATTAAAAGAGAAAATAAATGAATATATAGGTTGTTGCAGTTGCGTGCAGCTGTTTTTAATTTCTGCTATTTCTGACACAAATAGAAATCAGAAGGGCCAGACTTTATTAAATTCACAGCCAGCACATATCAGTTAACATGAGAGTTAATATCTTCTGTCAGTAAGGCTTGAATTTCTAGTTCACTGAAGGGCTGCACTCCCTAAATCATACACAAAGTTAGCTTAATAAAATTTGAAGGAGATTTTTAAATTTATTTTTCCATCCATGCACAGAAACTGAGTTCTTTTTTTTTATTATTAAATATGTTATTATTGTTTCCGTTATATATTTTTTTGTTTATTCAGATTTGTTCATTCTCCAAAGGTAGTAGTAAAATAGTAAAACTGACGTCAATGTGGAGCTAATACAACTGCAGTCAAGCTAGAAGATATAGAATTTGTGAGATATTTATATATTTGTGTGTGTGAGAGAGTCCATTACTATTGCTAGGCATTTGATGGGCTACACTTTAATATTTTGCTGACACCTAGTGGACAAATCTTAGGATGACATTTATCCTTTTGTCCAGAAGGTCAAATTAATGTACGTTTCACAGGAGTGACAAACAGGAGTTCTGCTTTCAGTGGTGGTTACAATCTGAAGCACAATTAACAAGAAAGTAAATGTAAAATTACAGGCAATCAAAACCATTAGCTATGTTTTTGGGGACAATTGCCCCTAGTAGGATCACCCAAGGCAACTTGGTCCAAGGTGAGCAGCCAGACAAAGTGTGATTCCTATGAAGGAAAAAAGTTTGTATCACGTAACCTTGCCCAGATTAGGAAAAGTGGGGCATCGCCCTGGAACCAGGCCTGGAAGGGAGCTCGTGGGCGAGTGTCTGGTAGTCAGGTCTTTATCCATGGGGCTTGGCTGGACAAAGCCCAATAGGTCTGGCCTCCTGTGAGCTCACCACCTGCTGGAGGGAAGTTGTGGGGGTATTGTGCATTGTAGATTGGGAAGAAGTTGAAGGGGCCTTGGTGGACTGATCATAGGTTACCAAAACTGGCTTTAGGGACATGGAATATACTGTAACCTCTCAGCTGAGAAAAGAGCTTCAGCTAGTGCAGGAGGTAGAGAGATATCACCTAGATATAGTCGGGCTCACCTCAATGCACAGCGTGGGCTCTGGAACGTGGATAATGACTGTTGAACCTTGAGAGGTATGATAGGGAGGAATCGCCAGGACTATCAGAACCCGAGCAATGGTCTGTTTTTGGCCTTCTGTGCTAATCACAATTTGTCCATAACGAGCACCATGTTCGAGCGTAAGGATGTTCATAAATGCACCTGGCACTAGAGCAACTTAGGTCACAGCTCGATGATCGATTTTGTAATTGTATCATCAGATCTGCAACTGTATGCCATGTAGACATTTGGGTGAAGGCGAATAGTGGAGCTGAGCTGACAACTAATCACCACCTAGTGGTGAATTGGTTTGGATGGCAGGGGAAAATGCCAGACAGACCTGGTTGGCCCAAACATATAGTGAGGGTGAGCTGGGAGCATCTAACAGAGGCCCCTGTCTGGGAGATCTTCAACTCACACCACCAGTAGAACTTCTCTTGCACTCTGATTGAGGCAGGCAAGATTGAGCTTGAATGAGCAATGTACTGTGCCTCCACTGATAGAACGGCTGTGCAAACGTGTGACTGTAAGGCAGCTTATAGTCACGGCAGTGATCCCCGAACCCAGTAGTGGTAGGAGCTGCCAGGCTGAAGAACGAGGCCTTCCAAGACTGGCTAGCTTGTGGAGCCTCAGATCCAGGAGGAACAATGCGGATTCCATCCTGGTGGTGGAACACTTGACCAACTCCTTACCTTTACAAGGATACTGGAGGGTTCTTGGAGTTTGTGTTTTGTGGACCTGGAAGTATAACCGTGTCCCTTGAGAGGTCTTTTGGGGGGTGCTTCTGGAGTATGGAGCTGTCGACAGAAAGTCAGACTTATTCCAAGTGTGTTGGACTACGCCAGGGCTGCCCTTTTCGTGATTCTGTTCATTACTGTTATAGGTAGTATTTCCAGATGCAGACAAGAGGGGTCCAATTCAGTGACCTCAGGATCGCGTCTTTGCTTTTTGCAGATGATGTGGCTCTGTTGGCTTCATTGGGCCTTGACCTGCTGTGTGCACTGGGGCAGTTTGCAGCTCAGTGTCAAGCGACCGAGATGAGAATCAGCACCTCCAGTGTGGATGGCCTCCTCCAGGTTGGGGATGAGTTATTCCCTCAAGCAGAGGAGTTAAGTATCTGAGGGTTTGGTTCATGAGTGAGGAATAAATGGAACCGGAGTTCGACAGGCAGACTGGTGTAGCGTCAGCAGTTATCTGGTCTGTCATGGTGAAAAGAGAGCTGAGCCAGAAGGAAAAGTTATTGATTTACCAGTCGATCTACATTCCTACCCTCGCCTATGGTCACAAGCTATGAGCAGTATCTGAAAGAATGAGATTGCGGATACAAGCAGCATAAATGAGCTTCCACTGCAGATTGTTTGGGCTCAGCCTTAGAGATAGGGTGAGGAGCTTGGACGTTTGGGGTCGGGGGGCTCAAAGTAGGGCTACTGCTCCTCCATATCAAAAGAAGCCAGCTGAGGTGGTTTGGGCATCTATCTAGGATGCCTTCTGGATGCTTCCCTGGAGAAGTTCCTGGTGTGTTCAACCAGGAGGAGACCCCAGCGCAGACCGAGGACATGCTGGAGTCATTATATCTCTTGGTTGGCCTAGGAACACCTTGATCCCCCTGTAGGAGCTGGAGGACATGGCTGGGCAGAAGGAGTTCTGTGCATCCCTGCTCAGACTGCTGCTGCTGTGATCCTAACCCAGATGAGTGTCAGAAAATGGATGGATGGAAATTCCATTAGCTGGTTCAAATCTGTTTGGATTTTGAAAAAAGCTGAACATGTGTAATTGGGAGATGCAGACACAGTGGTAAAACAATCTTCTAAATGAAGATTAATAAACCGATATTCAGCCATAATGGCAATTACTATTTATATCTACCTTATGGTGTAACAGCATACTGGACATGGACTCATGACCTAGAAACTGCCATTTCAGATTCCTGAAGATGCCCATTTGCATAACTCTTAAACTGCCTGATGTGTTCAGCGAATAACCAAAATGTTTACCACACTGGCAGAACACAGTCCTACACAGCAAATATTTTCAGATGACCCTCTATTCAGATGCTTTAGCTCCAGTTCTTTAGATTCTTTCTAAATTAAATTTTTGTGCCTCAAGATCTGAAAACCACTTCCAGCTGAATGTGGAGTGAAGAGAAGCCCTCCCAGCTGCCCATTTTCCTTCCAATGATAACAAAATGTTTTGCCAGTAATGGCTACAATAATGATACTGCCAGACAATCAGAACAAAGACCAGTGACTCAGGTGATCTTTGCAGGATTCTTTCTGTAGTATTAGGATCAGAATATGCTTAGGGCTAATTAACAGGAAGTGCAGTTAAAACTGTGCTTTACAGGAAACTTCCCTATTACTCCGGTGAAGAAGAAAACAGTCTCTTCACATCTTCTCACAATGAACAATCAATTGTTTTAGTCCACATTTTGCACACTTCTCCTTAAGTCACATGAGATTACTATTTCTTGATATTCACATTTTGACACTTACTGTTAGTACTGGGCTGTTCTTCCCATTCGTATACCTGGCCACAGTGCTAAATATTTTTATTATATTTTTTCTGTATCTACTGCATTGTCACAGTTTGGTTCCACTACATACCATCCATGTATACAAATGGGCTAACAGGAAAGTTCACTTCATTAGTAACAAACCAAAACTACTATTATGCGAAAGTATAAAAACGTATGTTAGCAAAATTTCAGAGTATATCTCAATATGATATGTGAATATTTTCTGCACTCATCAACTTAAAATTTACCCTTTACATTTTTGGGTGAAGCACATAAACGACGTAGGCATTCTTAAGAAAATTACTTCCTAAATTTACTTTTATTAAATAACGGGCTAAGGTTTAAGGTTTAGAAACTGTTCATATGTCACATCAGCATTATTAAGTGTAAAGCCTCCACATTAGTTAAAAGGGGAAGGAAAATAACACAATATTTAATGTTTATAAGCCATTGTCAGTCATACTTATAGTAAATGTCTGATTCCTCAAACTAGACCAACACAAACATTACCTGCCTGCTTTTGAAAGTGCAAGATCATTTGATGGGAATCCATGTGGTGGCAAAGCAAAGTGTGAGAAATAATAAAGAGAAAAAGACAATCTGATACCAAACTACAGATAACACTGCATTTATTATGCGGTTTATGACATTTCATGACCGAAGGTGACAGAAGGCATGTTAGGAGCATTCGGGTTTAAAAAATGCAAAAAACAGAATGTGTTTTTGGTTCAAAAATGAATAAAAGCTTTTTATAAAACCAGACTTAGGATAATTGTTAATTCATGTTAATACAAGCATGCTTATTCCATACAGTTCAGATGAAGAGTTTTAAAGTCTTGTTCAATCATACTTCTGGAAATTCTCTAAGTCTGATAGATGTTAGCTGCTTTCGTTGGGAGGGTAGGGTGGTATATAAATCCACTTTTACTGGAATGTTTCATTCGTAGCACAATGATACAAATGGTACAAATAATCACCTATGAGATACTATTCCTGTTGGAGCTATTATTTGTATATAAATAGAAAAAACAAGACCCTTGAATTGATATGCCAGTAAAAACGGGCTCAGCCATTTGGTATGGTCCAGCCAGAGGGCTCTCCACCCACTGGGAAGCATGCTACAGGCACTGGGTGACTAGGCCTTGGGTTGGGAATGCATGTGATGTGTCCCTCCTTCACAAGGGGACATGACTGAAGAGGTAGGAGACGGACTCCCCATTGTGTGTCCTTCTGATGGCTTCGGCCAGTATCATGGATATATCGATGACCTACAGGGGGGACAATTGCAATGATCATGCCATGTGTACACTTCCTTGATCCCACTCATTGCTCAACAGTAAACAGAAGGGAAAGTCCCTCCAAATCTGAAGTACTAAGTTGGGCCGTTCCTGTGGCTCTAAATTGGTACCTGGATCTTCGGACACTGCTTCATTTTCTCCTCCTGGGGGATGGTATTGGTCACCACCACGGCCTCGAAGGGGGCATTGTTGATCCGTGATATGGCAGGGCCGGAGAAGATGCCGTGAGTCAAGATGGCATACACCTTGATGGCCCCGGCGGAGATCAGTCTGGAAGGGAGCAAACACACCAAGAAGGTCAAACCAATGTGCGCCTGGGTAGTACTAATAAATAATGTCATGCTTCTCAGGAGGGATGCGGGAGGAAATCAACATCTTAGTCCCAAACAGGGAGCCCCCTGTACTTCTGGAGAGAGGCACCAAGCTCAGGGCAACCCCCAAACTGGATAGGTGGTTGTGTAAAATGGATTTATTTCTGCATCGCGTTTGGTGTATAAATGTTTGATGTCACTGCAACATCCTGTTAAGAAGGACCCGGGTCTGCTGAATTGTACTACTTTTTTTTTTTTTGGCAAAATGAATTGCTTGATTGTACTTGTACCACCAAGGTTTGAGACCGAAAATGAATCAGTATCGATTGATGTGCCCTCAAACTTTAAATCATGTGGCATGATTCTGCTTGCTACGGCAAGAAAAAAAAACCTGACATTCAACTCTTTCACACCATAACCATTCATCACAGTGGAATCTGTAAATGGCTTGTAATACTAGAAGGATTTCCAAAAAGGTGATTATCATTGTGGTGTCATCTGCTTCATTCATAAACACAAAGAGTGGCCTTCCAAACGTGGTCATACATGTTACAAACCAGCCACACTCTGATGGTGACTAAGATCGAGTAATGAAGCAGATTGACCTTCACACACAAAGATTACGATTAAGATTAACTTTATTGATCCCAGGAGAAATTCTAGTGCATACAGCTCAAGAACACAGGCGAACATACACATAATGCCAAACAAACAAGGTTCAAAGACAGTACATATAGTGCAAACAAAGTAGATGTAGTGCAAACAGACAAAAAAAAAAAACAAAAAAACACAAATATAAATGAAATATTCTGAAAAAGATAACGTGATACTAAAAATAAATATTTCAAGATTTAGAATAATAATAGTTTGAAACTACAGGAGAATGTACAATCTTACGCACGTCTACAGTTATCGGCATCGATCCATAGCTAATTAGACGGATCAGGTATTGGCCATATGTCACCGAACCACATTCGATACTTATTTACTTTTCGGCAGTCTGTAAAAAGATAGCTTCTATTTCTTGTTAAGTTAATTTGTACAATCAATCACACGACTGTTCTTTCCCATTTTGGATGAGTCTTCTGCAGCACTCAAGCTGAAAACTAACACTGCTACTCGGTTTATCTGCCTGCTGTGACATCATGTGCATACCCTTCGCTGTAGGAGGAGCGTGAAAACATCAGATAAGAGGGTGACAATCGAAGTATTTTACGCTTTTAACAACTAGTAGCACAGTGATTTGCAATCTTTGTAAAAACAAAATTTTTGAAAGGTGGAAAATCCCACTAAAAGTGCATGCAATTCTGCAAGACAGCACAAGTAATGTGGAAAAAAAACAATGGGTGATTTGGGAGTCGCTAGCTTGGGCTGTTTTGTACATTGCTGCAGCTTGTGATACATGAGCGGCTGCTATTGCAATGAAGTGTAAGTGACGCTGTTGCCAGCGGGAGAAACACTGTGGGGCATGTTAAGCATTCGCTACTTGCATATCCTTGCTTGGAAGACATTCAAATTGAACTGCAAATGCCTCAAAAATGCATAAAACAAGATGCACAAATGAGGTGGAACAGTACATTATGCACGTTTCTAGTAGCCTAATTAAAGATTTTTTTGGCATACCTTTTTTCTTATTTGTACTGACTTTTAAATAAATAAAAATATATATTTATACTACGGGACCGTTGAATGCTTGAATCTGATTGGCTGACGAACGTTCTGAGGTGTGCAATTATTTT